CAACGTCGTTGCAGCCGCCATGTCAGCGGAAGCGGAAAAAGCAACACACATGCATACAACAAACAGAGAAACACACACACACACACACATACACAGTTACACACGCTGGCACATACTTAAGCAACATTGAACAGCATGCGGCTGCGTCTGTTGTTGTTGCAACAGCATTTTGCATGCATTTGTATGCCATGCTGCCAATTCGCTTTATAGCGAATGTGTGTGTGTGTGTATGTATGTGTGTGTGTATGTATGTGTGTGTGTCTGTATTTCATGGCGTTGCCTGCGAGTCGCAACCAAATCAGAAACCCCCAACCCAAACATCCATCGAAAATGCGCGGCGTGTTTTCTGGAGTTACTGTTGCCCTGCCACGCCTTGTACGAAATGTTGTTGTGGTTGTTGTTGTGGCTGTTGTTGTTGTTGTTGTTGCAACGTGCCCACCATTTGGCGCTTTGTGCGTTTTTTCGTACACTGCATACCCCGGACCAAAACTGATTTTCAGCATTCGTTTTCCAGATGCAGATGCCAATGCAACTTAAGTTGATTTATTTTGCCTTTGACTGTGCTCCATGGACTTGTTCGAGCCATCGAAAAGCTATACCAAATTATCTGCTTTGAGATGTTAAGAAAGTACCTGATATTGTTGGGAGATGATAAGCGGGATAACTGAGCGTGTTGAGCTGTAGCGAGAGGATATTTTATACTGAAATAATAAATATCGCTTATTCCTTTTTCCTCTAAACTACTAAAAATGTACAAGCTTTTCCCCTGGCCTGAAAGCTTAAGCCCAAGAGATCAGCAAAGCTCTAAGAGGTTCAAGGCAATGAGTACTCGAGTACTAGTGAGGAATTCTTCCCCTTCTTCGAGCTTTAGCTACCTACCCAAAACAAAAACTTAAACTGAAAATGCTTTGATCGTAATTCTAATTTGTCCGAGATCTATACAGAATCTTAGCTTTCAGGCTGCCCCAGTTTTAGCATAGCTGTGACTATCCTTAATGTGAATGCGAAAAGCTTGTCAGCTGAGTTGCAATTTTTGTCCCGTGTCCCCGGGGCTCCATTGCACATTTCCCATAGCTAATATAAACGGCTGCAGCACACACACACACACACAGAGACACCCACGCAGCAGAGAATCGGAGAACAGAAACCACTGTGCACGAATGTCGCCTATCGCGTTGCCTTAGCTTTTCGTTCATTTCGTGTTTATTTCGTTTCTCGCATTTCGCCCATGTCGCCAATTTCTGCGCATTTACGACATCTCGCCCAAAAGCACAAACACCAGTCATGAGTGGGAATGCGGGTGCAGGGGGCCACTGCACGTGTATTGCGTATGTGTGTGTGCGTGTGTATGTGTGTGTGTATGTGCACAAGGATGAGTGTACTTAATGCGCCAACGAGTAACGCACACGAAACGAGCACCACAAACTGAATCAGATTCCGAATCAGCCCCCATTGAAACTCATCAGCCCAAAGCCCAGAGCAACCCCCGCGACGCCCTCAAGCAGCACATTAATGGCAAGGCAACAGCAACAGCAACACACACGCACACACACACACACACACATAGAGAAAGAGCCGAGCACAGCAGAAACAGAAACAGAAGCAGAAACACAAACAGCCAACTGTAAATTCAGAACAGAACAGAACACTGAAAGCCGAGGCCGAGGCAGAGGCAGAGGCAGCTGGCGGCGAATCGAAAGAGTGTGCGGTGTGTGTGTGTGTGGGGGGGGGGGGGGGGCTGTTTGGTGTGTGAGCCACAAAGTGGAGCAGGATAAGTGGTGCGAGTGAGGCGGGGGAGAATGGGAGTGGGAGTGGGACTGACTGACTGCCTGCCGGTTGTTTCTCTGGCGCTGGCGCTGTTTTCGATATTGTTGTTAAGGTCCTAAGGTGGAGGATTTAATGAAGGATAACACAAATACACACACATACTCACAGGCACGGAGACATATACACGCACACAAAGTGACGCACAACGTGCGCGTTGCTGCGGACCATGTGCAATTTTCAGCGATAGCGACAACAACAACAGCAATGGCAAAAACAACGACAACAGCGACAAGGACAACAACAACGTGGCCGTATTACACTTACGGTTCGGCGGTGCGCTGATGAATTTCCTGTGCACGAAACACAGCTGAGAATAGGTTAATGTATGTGTGGGGTAAGAGGGTAACGGACGGGCAGGGGGAGGCGGGCAGGCAGTGGGCGTAGCAGCAGTGCTTGCTTGGGAGATATTACATGCAAGTGCATATCATGCTGCCGCCTTGGAGCTGGCAATTAAAGGCGGCCCACCGACAACTAGCATCCATATGGCATATTATTATGCACGGGCGAACTCAACGCAGGATTCAAAGAATACAATAAACAAACAGCTTAGGGATGGAGACGAGTAGGAGTGGGAGTGGCAGGTAAGGCTGCTTGCGTGCAGCCCGCAACAGCAACCAGTTGCACCTAATTGAAGAACTGATCTGCAGTTGGATTATAAATGTCTGGCCAGCTGTAAGTTAAGTGCAATCGGGCCAATGATGGGCAGGGAAATGATGGCATGCATGGAGGCCTGGCAATGGAATGATTTTCCGCTTGGTTGTGGCCAACAAGGCCAAGAACTAGGCAGCTCAGCTGGGCAAATCCATCATAGTTCGATCAACAAAGGGAACTGCGGGAAAGCAAAGTGCCGAAAATTGGATACCCTTACAAACATTTTTATCCATACTTTTAAGTAAAATGAGCTATTTTTATTGCTTTTATTATTATTATTGTTAATTGTAAATAATATTTTTATAATTATTGTTATTTACTTTAACTATAATTATACGAAAGTTATTCAATAGAAAGGGATTTAAAGCCAGTTCCAATTTCTAGATTCCATTCTCGAAATTAGAGGTTAATTTTTCATTTTTAAACGATTCTTCTTGATTTGCTCTTTAAAATTAAGAATTGATATATTCTTGTCTTAGGCGGGCAAGCTCATTAGTGAAACATTTTAGCTTTAAGCCAAAAGTGTCTGTAGGATCATCATAAAACATATAACGTACGTGCTGAGTTTGGGGATGATTATTCATACATACTTTACTATGATAGCATATATGATATTATGATCCGATGCGGCCGACCTCCATATATGTGCATCTTAAATATGTGTTCAAGTTGGGAGCGTCAAAGTAAAATATACCCTGTACCCTGCTCCGAACTATTATAATGTAATAATGTAATATTAAAATAATTTTGTGACCATTTTTGTAGGGCATTAAGTGAATTTTATGCCTTTTAAATAACTAAGGTATTCTAAAAAATTGTATAATTTCTTTTAGCTGAATGTGAAAAAGTATATAAATATATTTTTTTTCAATGGATGCAAATTTATAAAAAAAAGTATGGTTCCCAAAAGTGCAGCTAAAGAGCTTAGATATTCGATTTTCGAATTATGATTACAATCAAAATAGTCTAAGACCGATAAAAGCAATCCTAATCCTCTATAGACCTATCTACTAGGCAGTAAATGTTGAGTTCTTCAAGGAGATGTACGATAATGAATTTAGCATAGCTGAAAAGAGATAATTCGCTCGAACATTATAACTTTTAGAAATAAGAATTATTCAGAAATTAAAGAAGTCTTTTTCATGTCAAGTCCTAGTCTAGAATTGGCATAAACAAAGTATTATTGTTTCAACTCTTCAAACAATGTTTTTAAGCACAAACAGATACATAGATAATTTAGAGAGTTTTAGAAATACTTCTATTTCGCTCGCCATTATTGCCCCAAGTCAAGTTCAAACTAACATTCATTATTTAAAAACTAAGAAATATTTTACAAGTAAGAAAAAAATTGAGGATTTACGAAAGTGAAAAATAGTAATTGAAGTCAACTCAACTCGGAATAGCCTTAATTGCCTCTTAAATACCTCCACGTATATAAATGTTATTCTGTACACATTTAGACACGTTATCATAAAGTCTGAATGGACTTTACGATATTCTTTTCTGCATTTACTGCATAAATACATTTAGGAAATGGACGCTATTCTTTTTAATCCGCATTGAACAAGTAAAACTAAAGTCCTACGTCCATCAATTGGATATTTACGATATTGAAAATAGTTTTCGATTCCTTTGGATAATTGAACTCAACTCAACTCGGAATAGCCTTAAATGCCCTTTGAGGGCTAATCATGTACATATAAGTTATTCTGTACCCATTTCAAAATATTATGATAGGTCCACGATATTCTATTCTGCATTCACTCTTCAAATCCCTTTTAAATTTGCATTGAACAAGTATGTCTGAAGTCCGGCAGATACAGGATTGACGATAATAAAAACGTGTTTTCGTTCATTTGGAAAATTGAAGTCAATTCAACTCAAATCGGAATAGCCTTAAATACCTCTTGAGGGTTTATCCACGTACATATATGTTATACTGCACCCTTTTGGACAAATTATGATAGCTCCGCGATGTTGTCTTCTGCATTCACTCTATAAATCCCAATTGGAAATGGACTCAATCCTTTTAAATCCGCATTGAACAAGTATTAGTGAAGTCCTACAGCTGCTGCTGCTGCCGCTGCTGCTGTTGCTGTCCTTGCTTAACCAGCGCCTGGCAGCGGTCCAGCTTATATTTGGGCGCAGAATAGCGAGAAGAGCGTTAGAGAAATTAATTAAACGCAGGATAGCGAGAAATGAGAAGGACAATGGGGACGATGGCAATGGGGACGATGGCAATGGGGACGAGGGCCGTGGGACAAGGGTGGGGACGATGTGCTGGGGTGTGGACTAAAGGACGACGTCTGCTGGCTTTGGCAGTGGGCGTCCCTGAGTGAGCGTGGGCGTGGGCGTCGGCGTGGGCATGGGCATGGAGTCAGCAGGCGTGAACGTGACGCCATGCATGGAAATAACGCATTTTGTCGACCCACTTTTGGTTGCGCACCATCATAATCAACATATTCCCCCTCTCTTTTGTCACTCTTTGTTTCTATTTTTGTCCGTCTCTTATTCTCTTGCAGCCTGCCGCCACCATCACCGGAACACACGCCCACCAAGGGATTCGATGGAAACTTCAAGCTGGAACCGAATCTGAGCGTGAAAGACTTTGCCCCACCGCCGGAGAATGGCAACGGCAATGGCAGCCTGGAGTCCGGCGGCCCGTCCGTTGCCATGGCCACGCCCACGCCGCCGCAGCGCAAGCGCTACAAGAAGCGCGTGCAGTTCACCACCGACGCCCTCAATGGCTATGCGGGCGCCAAGGCCAAGGGTGGCGCTGGCGCTGGCGTTGGCGTTGCAGCTGCTGGCGCTGCCACAGCCGGCGGCTACAACAATAACAACAACAACAGCTTTGGCACAACAGTCAAGTCGAAGAAGCAAGAGGCCAAAGCAGCCGCGGCTGCCCTGAAGGCAAGCGCTACGGCAGCGGCAGCAGCAGCAGCAGCGGCGGCAGCCTCGTCGGCACTGCCCGAGGTGCTCGACTGTCGCATCGCGGAAAAGATCAAGAGCGAACTGGAGGCATGCAGCAAGGAGTCCCTGCCAAGTGCACTGTGCCTCAAAAAGGCTGCTGCTGCTGCCGCAGCCGCTGCAGCGGCGGCGCGTCACAGTGACGAGGACGAGGACGAAGAGGACGACCATCATCAGCAACAGCAACAGCACCAGCACCAGCAGCTGGCGGCGCCGACATCAACGGGCGCGAGTCACGCCTCCACGGCACCGGCAACGCTGCTGGGCACTGGCTGCGGCGGTGCAGACATGGTGGATGCCAGCAGTGCCAGCAACGGGCAGCTGGGCAACTTCCATGTGCGATCCAAGAGCCAGGCGGGCAACAAGAAGTCGCAAGCCGCGAAAGCAGCTGCTGCCGCAGCGGCGGCGGCAGCAGCAGCTGCTGCAGCGGCGGCCATGATGCCGCCCAACAGCTATGATGAGCCGGAAGATGATTCGGCTGTTGGGCCGGGCGATGATGATGAAGAGGACGATGAGGAACTGGACGAGGAGGCACTGGCGCGTGAGATGAAAATGGAGCAGAACTTTGTAGAGGAGGAGGATGAGCACGATATCGCGTTCCGGTCGCAACAGTCCTGCCGCGAGTGCTCCATCTCGCACGACCACAAGCTGTGCCCGCTGCGCAATGCCTGCGGCAATGTAACGGACGCAGTGGATCTGGCTGAGTGGATCGAGCGCCGAAATCTGGAGGCGTTGGCCAAGCTAAAGGCGGACGCACAGCGCCAGGCCAAGGTGGGCAGGCCGCGACACGATGACGACGAGGACGACATGGAGGACATGGACATGGACGAGTCATCGCAATTGTCCGAGCTGGAGACAAAGCCGCTGATTACCTTCGCCGAGGCCTCGGTGCCCGCCGAATTCGAGCTGCACAACGTGGAGCCCAATGTCACCGGCGTCTTTGCCCGCACCGAGGTCCGTGCCTACACCAAACTGGGCCCACTCATCGGCCAGCCGGTGCAGAGCGGTGAGGTGCGCGAGGGCAGCGACATGAAGTGGATATTCGAGATGTGCGAGGCCGGCGCCGACAAATCCTATCTGCTCTGCTGCGATAATCCCAACGCCTCCAACTGGCTGCGCTTTATCCGGCCCGCGCCCAGCTACGAGGAGCGCAATGTCAATCTCGTTTCCATCGATCGCCAGGCCTACTTCGTCAGCTGTCGCGATCTCCGCAACGGCATGGAGCTGCTCTACTGGAGTGATGACTGCAACACCATGTGGCGCAAGAAGCACACTGAGAAAACAAGTAAGTCGCACAGTAGGCACCCACTAAACCGGCCAGCATATGGCCCGTTGTCATTAAGATTTATGTTTGCCCAACTAATTGGTTGACTGGATGTTAGTCATCAACTCATGCAATGATTACTTATCGGTCTGGAAATCTTAACAAGCTGACTAGTTTATGGTTCAATAACATTTGCTGAGACTATCGGACATCTTCCTAGCAAAGTTATCAGGCGCTTTAACTTGTTGTCGAATAGAGTCTCAATCAAACTGCTGAGCTGCCTAATCAGCAGTCTATTTATCTTCCTGCTAAGTTATAAACAATTCGTGGCGTTGCCACATTTTCATATCCTTTTCTGTAAAACTGACTCGTTTCCTAATTATCACCCTAGCAAAGTTATCAGGCGCTTTAACTTGTTGTCAAATAGAGTTTCAATCAAACTGCTGAGCTGCCTACTAAAATCAGCAGTCTATTTAAACAGTGTTGCCACTTAGTTATTATTAGCACATATGGCAGTATCAAACAAATACCTGCCAATCCAGCTGGTAAATACTTAACAAGAAGATATAAACTTAGTATAGCCCCTTTGCTTTGCATTGCATGGATATGAACAATTCGTGGTGCTGCCACATTTTCATATAATTTTCTGTAACACTAAACTTCAGACTCCTAAGTCCGATAATTTTGACAAGCTGATTCGATTCCTGAAACTATCACTCTAAACAAGTTGATATGGGCTTTAACTTGTTGTGTAATTAGTTTTCAGTGATATCTATCAACCTCGCTGGTAAATACTTAACGCGAAGTTATAATCCTTAATATAAGATTAGACATGTCATCAGATTTATCTTCTTGTCAAATTTGTCACTTAAAGCCCCTTCATTCTCCCATGCCACATGGCTGTCTTTTAAGCCAAAACTTAAGTGCATCTTCAGCAAATGTCATTTTGGATTGTTATTAATTGCATTGAGTCAACACTTACTCATCGTTTTCTCTGTTATTCTCCGAAAAAAAAATAATAAAAATAAACAGACTGCGGCGGCTGCAATTTAAAGTTCGAGCATCCGCTTTACTACCGCACGCACTGCTCAGTTTTTCACGATCCATCGATGAGCCTAACCATACGGAAGTACCACTGCAAGGTGTGCGGCGAGGCGGTGCTGGGGAAGGACAACATCATGAAGCATGCGGCCGAGAAGCACGACGGCAAGGGCGCCTATCAGTGCCAGTTCTGCAACAAGTTTTTCCTACGCCTCAACTATCTGGAGATGCATCGCACCTACGGCTGTGCCTCGAACCCGAACCGATCGCGGCCGGTCTGCGATTTCTGTGGTCGTAAATTCTGTCAGCCACAAAAGCTGAAGGCGCACATTAAGCGCGTCCACAGTGGTAAGTTGGGAATATGCCACGCCTTCCACATAGAACGTAAATACTTGCGTAAATACGTAGAAGTCTGTATATCGTAAGCGTATGCAACAATAGCGGAGAATATTGTAAGCTCGTTTATCGCATATCGTATATCGCATATCATAAATCGCATATCGTAAATCGCATATCGTAAATCGCATATCGTAAATCATATCGTATTATATATCGTAAATCGTGTATCGTTAATATAAACTCCACCGACGCTATACCGCTTCTCAATAGTAATGTACTAAACACTCTTCATCACACCCAAAAAAATCAAACACACATTAACCAATATCGTATGTACTAATATCGTAAAATAACGCAACCTGCTTAGCCGTAACTACTAACCAACCATTTAAGCACACAATCACCATCAGTCACCACAAGAACACACACACACACATACTCACACACACTTAAAACACCCATTTGTGATCGCTCATCCTCATGCCTCTTCAGTTGTATGCCTAATTGGTCGATACCATTTTTATATGCTTGGTTCATTTCTTAACGAGTTTAGTTGATACACATCACATAGATCAAATACACACAAACATCTTAGTCCGGCAGACACAACGGGAATTTGGAAAACTCATTCAGGCCTGAACAGAATTATTTGGTGCACAAATTAGCAAAGGAACTTTACTTAAATAAATAATAATGATTTTCCCTTGAATTAAAATATTTCTGAAAGATGAGGGATGAGCCACATGGGTACGATATATCTTTCAGAATTTTTTAAATATTTCATGGAGTTTTAAATAGCTTTCTAATAAGGAACTAAGGAACTGGCCAAACAATAAGCACATCCTTAGAATCTTTCAACTTGATATACGTAGAGTTATTTGTGTCATGATAGATTGGATAAGATTAGTTGTTGACAATGTTCATGTTCAGTTCAAGGGTGATTTCGTAGGATGGATTAGTTAACTACGCTGTCATATTCAATTATGATAAAAAACAAAATATTTTCGAAATATGAGTTTTGAAAACATATTTTTAAAAAATAGTTCGACTCAAGCTTTAGTTCATATTCAAAAATAAATGCAAATCCGCGTTCGAACTGATTCGAAAAAAATATTTTACTTTGGAGTTGAGAAACTTGGAAATTTGCTTTATCCCAAAGCAAAGGAATTAAGATTCAGGGTGTAGAAGTTCAATTTGGAAAACCCTTAACCTTACGATAGATCTATAATCGATTAATTTAAATACTTATTGAGATCGATCACTTTATAGCATTCGATTAAAGATTTTCACGCCGTTTATAGAATTAACTATTTATACGAACCACTACACCGAGCCACTGATCCACTGAGCCACTGAGCCACTAAATAAACCACAAACAAAGCAGCATACGTAAACAGCATCATTGTAAAATCGCTTTTAGTGAATGATTTGCTTTGTATTTGATTTGTGTTTGGTATTTGATCTTGAGTTTTTGGTGCTGAGCGGATCAGCATTATGTAAAAACTATATTGATATGGTTTATTTGTTCGATCTAGTGACTTATGCTTTCTGTGTGTTTTGGCTTACGTTCTTGTGATTTGTGTTCGTACGTTCGTTTGTTGTTGGGTTCGATTTACCTATGAATTTTCTGTATTCACTAATTTTCTTTCAAAATCACCACAATCCGAAAATTTCATTTTCTTCATACAATTTCATTTTAGATATGGCTGAAGTTTTACGAGATTTTCAGTGTAAATTATGTTCAAAACTTCTAGGATCGCGTGCGGCATTGCAGCGCCACTCGAAGGAGGTGCACAGCCGCAACTCAACAGTGGTGAGTTGTCCGCGCTGCCAGAAACTCTTCCAGAATCGCAGCAATCTGAAGATCCACATGCTCACGCATTCGGGCGTGCGTCCCTTCAAGTAAGTGCCCCCAACCCGTTCCGACAATCCCACTTGCAATCGGCCCTTGCCGCACTAACAACCACACGAGAGAAAAAATCAAATACGAAAGTACTTAAATTAAGTAAGACGAGTCTTAAAAGTACGCAAATATCGCTAATAGTTCCTTTTTCTTGTATGAACTAACTTAAATCAAGTTATGAAGTCTTCATTTCTTAATTCTGGTATGACTCTCAAGTATAAAACTCTTTTTTCAAGTATAACTTTTAAAATTCGAAAAAAAACTTAAATTATGTATTTTATATGCTTGACTCAAAGAAGAAATTCTTATTTCAAATGTTAATTTTAAGTACGAAAAAAAATTAAATCAACATATTTTTCAAGTATGAGTCAAGCTTAAAATTCGTATTTCAAGTATGAGCTCTTATGAATGTACTTAAATCAAGTTCAGCTGCTCTTAAAACAATCCCAGTTTGAACTTGAAACAAGTTTTGGTTAGTCTTTATCAGGCCCTTTGCTTTGCAACTTCAAGAAATTGTAAACTTGAACTTGAGCACAACTTTGATGCATCTTGATTTTTTAAAGCTTGATTTAAATACAAATATTAATTTAAATGACTTTTACTTGATTCAAGAAGTTCTAGTTAATGTTACTGCAATAACTTTTAGCTTCAGTTAGGATTTTCGTTTTTTCTCTCTGTGCATATTTGATTTACACACACGCACACACATACTCATGCGGTCATTCGCAGGTGCGCGGAACCAGAGTGCAATGCCGCCTTCACCACGAAGCAGTGCCTACAGTTCCATTACAAGAAGGTGCACAATTATACCCAGGAGCAAATGCCGAAGATAGAGCGCAGCGTGGCCTACACTTTCGATGCCTACTCGGGCGGCATGAAGGTGGACTTTTTGGGTAAGCCAGTAGGGCAGGCGCAGTTGGGTGTACTAGCGCCACGCCCTAACGCTGCCCTCTCCTTCACAGAGCAAGCACCGCGTCGGCGACGGAAGAGCCTCGAGGATCAGAACCAAAACTCGATGCTCAGCAGCTCGATGCAAAGCGACACCGAGTACAGCGACGACAATATATTCGAGGCCATTAAGAAGAGCGGCAAATCCATTAAGGATCTGTGCCGCAACGAGCCGAATCTCTCACTGCTCAGCTCCAAGATCTCCAGCATATTTGGCGAGAAGGTGCCACCTGTGCAACAGGTGTCGAGCCAGGTAAGCGCCGTTGTCTCCGCCACCGCAGCTGGCACCGGACGCAAGCGCAAGCGGAAGAAGGAACCGGCGCTCCCATCCCTCACCGCCCAGCAGCAGCAGCAGCAGCAGCAACAACAACAGCAACAACAACAGCAACAGCTACAGCAGCAGCAACATGCCCAGCAGTGCCACCAGCAGCAGCAGCAGCAGCAGCAACAGCAGCAACAGCAGCAACAGCAACAGCAGCAGCAGCTCCACGGCGGACATCTAGATCAGTCGCCCTCGCATCTGTCACATCAGCAGCTCCAGCAGCAGCCACAGTATCATGCGCACAGCCACGCCCACGCTCATGTGCATGCACACGCCCACCAGCAGCAACAGCAGCAGCAGCAGCAACAGCAACAGCAGGCGGCCGCGCACCACCAGCAGCAACTGCACGATGCCGACGAGGAGGAGGAGAGCGCACGCCTGGAGCAGGTGCGTCGCAAGCAGAACGCCCAGCTCAGCCTAGTCGAGTCCTTTCTGACCACCACGGCACAGCGGCTCAGCGCCCAACAACAGGTGCAGCAAGTGGTCGCTGCCGCGGCCGCTGTCTCCGCCATGGCCGGCGCTGGCGAGGATCCCGCCAAGCTGGGCCACATGATGGGCCACATGGGCGGCGTGGGCGTCGGCGTTGGCGTAGGCCTCGACGATGATGACGATGACGACGAGGACGATGAGGATGCCACAGCGCACCACCTGCATCACCAGCAGCAACAGCACCAGCAGCAACAGCATCAGCAGCACCACTCGCACCAAGCGCATCCACATCATGCCCACACGCATCCCCACCAGCACGGACAGCAGGCGGGGCAGCAGCCGCACGATGCTGGCTATCGGCATGCGGCCGCCATGAACGCGGCCCTCGGCCAGAACCTGGTCGTCAGCAAGGGCAGCAAGAAGTGGATCGGCGCCGACGATCGGCATTTGAGCGATGGCGGCGACGTGGCCAATGATGCAGCAGTCGGCGGTGCGGGCAGCGGCGGCGGCGGTGGTGTTGTTGTCGGATGCGGTCAGCTGTCAGGTGGTGCCAGTGCTGGCCAGGACCTCGGCTTCGCAGTGCCACCCAGCGCCGTGGACGAGCACAGCAAGCTGCTGGGCCAGAATCGGGACTTCCTGGCACGGCTCATGAGCAGCGCCAGCGCCAGCCATGCCAGCCATCAGCATCAGCATCAGCACAGCGCGCACAGCCGCGAGGAGGACGAGAACAGCTCCTTCCTGGATGTCGTCGAGTCCAACAACAATGCGGCCGCTGCTGCAGCCGCCGCCGCCGCGGCCATGTCCCAATACCATCACAGTGCGGCAGCCAATGGCGGTGCGGGCGCTGCTGGCGGCGCCGGCGGCGGCAACGGTGGCGGTGGCGGAGGCGGTGGTGCTGGCGGGCACACGCCCACCGGTCACACGCCCACAGCGCCCAGCAGCGTGGAGCCGCCCCAAATGCAAATGAACTCGCTCAGCCACTCGCAGTCGTTCATGAGCTCCTTCTACAACAACGCCAACGCAAGACTGAGCGGCGCAGGCGCTGGCGTTGGCGCCAACTCCTCCTCGGCCAGCATGCTGGTGGAGGCGGCCCTCAACTCCGTTGGCAATATGATTGACAGCGAGAGCAGCGATCTTAAGGTGCGTCCAAGTATTTCATGCCCCCCGCCCATTCGGCTAATATCATTTCAAAAATTGTAGCGACCATTGTAAAGAAATACAAATCTTTTTATTATGGAGGGGATTACGATAAATCTTATATATATATATATATATAAATATTTGTCCAGACTGACTGAAAGACTGATTGACTGATTGATGATCAATGCACAGCCAAATCGTCAGAGCTAGGAGGCAGAAACTAATGTTATGTCTGTAAATTCCACCCGAAACTGTGGGAAATTGGTGAAAAGCAAACTTTTAAAGATCTATGAGAAAATTCAGCTAAATATTGAGGTCAAAGGTTCTGTGGGCGATAGTTTACCTTGCGGCTTCAAGTTTATTTCAAAGATCTACATAACAAGCGAATGAATACGGATTTCAGCGCATTTCGTAGTCCATCCCAGGAAAGTAAAATTCGATTTGTTTTTTTGTTTTGTTTTTAATCAAAACAACTTCAAACTAATTTTATTACGGAATGATTTCAAACGTAGAAACGGCTGCAACTGCAAAGATCTTGAGCGAATCAACGGCAAATTCCACAATTTAACAATAAAAGTCCTGAAGATGCAAGTGTCCGATTACGAGATACCCTCTACACAGTACCCGTACTATTGGAAGTGCGTTCTTGAATAACTTCGGTTTATATAGTCCGATCTTTTTCAAAAATATTTAGAGTTTTAAAATGGCACCCAATTGTATGTATATGACAAAGTCCTAGTCTCTTGCGGACGAGCTATTCATAAAGTGAAATATTCTTAATCTGTGTATATTGTGTAGATTGATTGAGAACATATAGTAATGACCCCCTATATGAGAGTGTACAAGTACAAGTAGCTTAAGTGCAACAAACCATTATGTAGGGTATCTTCTAATCGAGAACACTTAATTATTCAATTCTAACTAGACATACTTTTTGTTCTTATTGCATTTCAAGAGCTTCCTAAATAAAACTTATTGGCAATTACCTATCAAGTTGGCTAAATGAAAAGTTAAGGTAGAGCAATGACAGGTCGAATAATCATGATGGCATAATCGGCTCGTTATCTTTTTTTTTGTTTTTTTATCAAAATATATATATATATATATATATAGGTTAGATTCCAGACGTTAATCTTTGCAAAAGGTCGAATTTCTGACATTTAAAATAATTGATATATAATTTTTTTAATTGAATGCGTTCTCAAAAACTTTTCTAAAGGAATATATTTTTTAAGTTAAAAAATTACTTTCTTTATATTTAAGTTTAAATTGAAAAAGGCATTGAAAATGATTTTGTTATATATTCTAAAATGAATAATTAAGTGAAATCTTAGTGAATTTATATATCTAATCCGATTCTGGTTTAGGTACCCACCGATAACCACATAAATAGCGATAGTCCGATGAGTGCGCACGTGGATGCGGAGTCGCAACGCTTTGGCAGCGCCGGCGGCGGTGGGGGCAGCGGGCCGAACGGCGCGGGCATTGGGGCCACCATGGACAACCTGGAGAATGAGCTGAAGATGATGAAGAACCTGGGCAGCTTTCCCATGCAGATACCGCCATTGCCTATGTTCCAGGGCGCTTGCAACATATCGCCGAGCGCCTCGACGCCCACCAATCCGCAGAGTAATCAGAACCAGAACGATGTGGATGTGGATGCCGGCAGCACGCCGCGGCCGCAACATCCGGATTCCGATGGTTTCTCTTCGTCGCACCACCGCACACCGCCCTCGCCGCCGCCCATTTCGCCGGGACGCGACTACGGCGGAATGTTTGGCGCCGGCAATGGTGCCGGCGGCCCCGGCTCCAACAGCACTCCAGCGGGCAGCTCCAGCGGCGGCGGTGGCCCAACGGTGGGCAACAATTTGTCCGCATCGTCGCCGCTGCCGGCGCTGCAGCCGCAGCGGCGCAATGCCTCCAGCGTGGGCAGCACATATCCCGAGCATGAGCTCATCTCGCCCGCCTCCTCGCCGAGCATACCACGCTACAACTTCAACGGCGACATGATGCGCCACAAGCGCGCCGTCCAGGAGCAGGAGCAGCAGGAGCGACGCCACAACATCTCGCGGCACAATCACATGTCCAGCGACGAGGAGAACAGCATCATGCCACAGAACAGGTGAGTCGCCAGCCCACAATGAGCTTGCACTGACTGCGCCAACTCTAATCCTTTTATTTTTTCTGTGAGCAGCGCCGGACAGGATATGCGCATGAAGTTCCCGCAATCGCAGATCGATCTCATGTACTCCAAGTACGAGAGCATGGCCAGCAATCTGAAGTACAACAGCCAGGAGCTGGACTCCCCGGTCGAGTACCGGCAGAGCAGCAACAGCAATGCAGCAAGCGCTGCAGCTGCTGCCGCCGCGGCAGCCAGCGCCGCCAATGACATGTCCGATCTGCAGGGACTGGACATGAGCTCGCGGTCGAATGCGTCGAGCAATTATCATCACAACTTCCAGCTGCCAAGCAGTCGTTACCATCACCACATCTACGATATATTGTCGGATCGAGAGCAGAACCAGCAGGCGCAGGCGCAGCAGCAGACCCCAGCTTCGGTGGTGCATCAGCAGGAGCATGGCAGCCATGGCGGTCACAGTAGCCAGCTGGCGATGCAGCAGCACCAGTCGGCGGCGATGCACAACATGCTGAGCGAGCAGCTGGGCGAGCAGGAGCACGATCAGACCACATCGGTGGATCTGAGCCGTACCGCCAACTATGTGGTGTCGTCTCCGCCGCAGCTGCCATACAACCATCCGCACCACGATATGCTGCGCATGGCCTCGCTGGATCTGACACCAAATACGGCCAATATGGCAGTGGGCAACAATCGATCGTTTCTGTCCTCGCAGATGCAGCACCAGAGCCGCGAGAGTCTCGAGCACCATCGGCTGCTCTCGACGGTGGAGCAGCATCGCATATTGGCCGCCTCGAATGCGGCGGCGGATCAGCATCGACTGCTGGTCGATCCCACCGCCCATTTGCTGATGGAGCAAAACAATCGGCTACTGGGCACCGCGGATCAGTCCCGTCTCCTGGGCGAATCGGCGGCGGCAGCTGCCCAGAATCGACACATGGCCAGAAGCTTTGGTGCCTACCATCAGGTGGCTTCGAGCAATTATCATCCGGGCGTACGGCCACCGCCGGTGCTGCCATCGGCCAACCATCATGCTTCCAATCCGTCGAATTATCATCCATTTCCCGCCTACTACTAGGTGGCGCCATCTGTCGGCCAGCACAGTTGATTTTCGCAAATCCCAAACTAAAAAGCGGCCACCCCCCAGTTTCTATCCCACTATTTCAAGCTATATATAGATCTGATAGATCTGACATATACATGATATATACATATATGTGTGTGTACTCTGAATATACGCTAGATATACGATCATTTAAATATTTATTACCAGCTGCCAGATGACATGCGTGAGGCTAAGTGGACATCTATATACTTAGCTGAAAGAGCTACACATCTAGCCATATAGCTAACCGGGACTGTGTGCAATTCAAATATCAGATATATGTATTTTATATAACCCTGTACATTCGCCTGGCAGCTATCTACATACATACATATGTACGATTACTATCCACGAATCCTCGATTCTATAGTTCAATTTCAAGCGCAAATATATGTTTCAAACGTAACAATTTTTGGTTCCTCGGTTTTATTCGCATGTAACTCTTAACTAACAAGCCACAAATAACTCATTATAAACTATTATTATTATAAAAGCCCCAATTAATGTGTGTCGCATTATGTTCAGTGTCTCAACTACTATTTGAATTATGTGTGAAAAATTATTTTTAAAAATTAACAACAAAAAAATGAATAAAAACTAAAAAAAAATATGGAAAATATGAAAATGAAAAACAACCATAAAGTGTGCCAATATGTGTAAGTGTACATTGAGTTTTTTTTTCGCTACAGCTGGCAAACTACATATAGAAATATATGATTTTGTAACAATAATAATAACAATATGTATAGTTGTATATGTAAAAAATAAAGATTAAAATAAACAGATAATATATACAAATAAAGTTTGAAGAAAACTAAAATTATAAATAAAATACAACACATAAAATTGTAATTTTAAACAATTCGCCGCTGAGTTTGTATAAAATAGAAATTGTATAAAAACAAAATGCGATATTGTATCTCGTATACAAAAAAAAAAAAAACAAAAACAAAACAAAAAAAAATGCATTGCTATTTTTACACCACGAACAAAACAAACAAACAAACAAGAAGTAAAAATTATAAACGAGTACAAACTGTTGAGCAAAGGTTGAGTGAAAGGGCAAGAAAATAATAATAATAATACAAATTGTAATAATAAAAGATTCATTTGGCTAAAAAACACAGCACCAGATCCGAACACGCCCCGGACAAACTCAGCGATAGCAAAGATCAGTAAATATATAATGAATACCAAGTTATAATATTACTAGCTAAAACACTTATTATAACAATTGACAGACACACACATACATACATGTAATAAAATATATATATCTACATATATATATATATATATATATATATATATATACATACATATATGGAACAGTTTGACAGATCAGGAACTTAGCTCAAGCGACTTTTATATTTAGTCCTTATCATTTTTTTTTTGTTTATGCCAAATTGAAAAATGCAAGTGAAACGCAAAGATTTGGCATAGCATATATATATATATATATATATATATATATATATATATATATATATATATATATATATATACATACACATATATACATATATATATATATATGTATATATATATATAGAAACATATACATGAATGTACTAAAAGATATATAAATATAGAAAGTAAATGAATTAATGCATATAATTTCATGTAAATTATTAAATTAACAAATAAAGGCAGGCAAAAGTAACAGGAACTCTATATATATATATATATATATATATATATATATATATATATATATATATATATATTAACATCCCAATGATAATAATAGTGTGCGGGATGCTATATAACATAAATAATGCTGATGTGCTAATTTGCCAATAAGAACATTGAAAATGCTGATAAAAATGATATTTACATGTGGAGTAATCAAATTATCGATTATAAATAAAATGGAAATTATTTGAATGAAAGCAGTTACAATTTGTTATCGATAACAGAGCAAAGGCAACGGGTAGGGACAGTGTTGCTAAATGTTGCGCCACAGTAAAAAATAGCTTAAAATAGCTGAATTTGGCTTTCTGCGCACAAATTGACAATAAACAGGATACCAAGAACTTGCCATTGAGATGTCAAAATACAGCTAAATCAGTTGAAAATTTCAACTGATTCCGGCTAATGACCATTGGATATAGCCGATTCTAGACAAATAAGCTAATAGTTATCAAAGGATCACTCACATAGTTCGTTAATTCTTGCAATGGCTGCATTTTGGGATATTTTAGTAACACAAATATCACCAAACGGATCAAATCTTTGAATGAATTTTCCTACTATATAATCTGAAAGAATGTTATTTTTAATAATCTGTCTCTTTTATCTTATTATTACCTGTATATTCAAACCTGTTTGTTATGACTAACTGACCGGATGACTGAGTGACTGACCTACTGATTGAGAGCATACTAAAGAGCTAGAATCAGCAACAGTGGAAAACGGATGGAAAACTCTATTATGAAACTCTTTTTTAAATATTCAATGAAAATGAGGGTCCAACTGCAACTGAAGGTTGTGTTCGGTCAGCTTTGTATCTGCTAGTAAGGAAGTAAATACTGAATAAATCGTTTTAAAATCATTATTTAAAACCGAGAAAATACGTCAAGGCACATTTAAGCCGACTCAATCAATTTTTTGAAAATGTTTAAAAAGATTTTTATTGTGGAGGTATATTTTGGATCGTTAAAAAATACCAAATTGCAATTGCATTTCCTGTTTATCTATCAAGCCGCATACTTTTCTGACATAACGTTGACATTTTATGACTGAAAATCAATCATTTTTGAATGGAAAAGTTTTAATTCGAATTTTTAAAGTTTTTGGTGTGTAATTTCAGGTTGTTCTGGATTTTTTAATTGTTGTGACATTTAATTTTATATTTGTTTTATTTTTAAGATCTACATTGTTGCCTTTTCATGAAAAGTGATTGAACCAGCCATGTTACTGAGATACGTTTCGAACGGACGTCCTTATCGAAATCTAGGTACGTGCTCATAGAGAAATATATACTTATAAAATATATATTTAGATACCTTCATACATAAATAGCACATAGAGTAAATAAAATGTATATAGTTTCATAACTTTGGCATTTCCTTCCAAATTCTTGTTGAACAAAATGCACAACGAGTTTTGTTTTCATATGCAATACAGAGTTAACGGCAAGGCAACAGGGCGGATAAGCAAAAGCATAAGCAGCAATATTAGCGGCCAGAGGAAGCAACAGTTACACGAGAAGAGCGATAAGAGTAGCAGTAAAACGCGATTGCGATAAGAAAGAGAGGTAGGCAGCAGAACGGACGGCATTATCGAGAGCAAGCGTAAGTCAGAGAGACGGAGCGATTATTTGGAGAATTCGAGGCGAGAAGTTGCGAGAGAGCGCGTGCGAGCGCTATCATGACGCAATAGCCAATCCAATGAATGAAATAGCAACAAACACAATAGTTGGGAGCACAGCAAGTACATACATATGTCGCCGACGCCTGCGGAGATTGTAGTAGCGACATCAGCGCCGCTAAGAGAGCACAATGGCAATGGCTACAAGACGGCCAGAGCGGCGACGGCGGCAGCGACGCCATCAACAGCGTCAGCACTAACCAAAGGCAGTGGCACTGGCGAGGTTTCGCTTTCTGCTGCTGAAGCAGCGCAGCCGTCGTCGCTGCCACCAGATATCGGCTCCACGAGAGTGGGCAGCGAAGTGCTGATAATGACGCCAGAGCAAATAGCCGAAGCTTACGAAAACGCAGTGCGAGAAGAAGAGCATAAGAGAGGCAAAACCGAAGAGAGTAAAGTGCGATCCACTCAGCCCGGAATACGAAATAAGGCCGTAGCCTTTCGTGACGGACTCTTGCTGATAGTCGGCAAATTTTTGAAATTCATTTTGCATTTAGACATGCATGGGGGCAACACCGGCAACAATATCAACTTCGTGGAGGGGCTGATAGACTTTATCGCCGGCTCGCTGGGTGAGTCCAGACTCAGCGACAATGCGTGTTTACGCTTTGTACATGTATGTGTATAGGTCTGTATGTATTTAATTCGCACGTGTTTCTCGCCCTTCACACACGCAGGCGGCGCCGCTCAAGTCTATGTTTCCCAGCCGTTGGACACCGTCAAAGTGAAGCTACAAACATTTCCCGAAACCTACAAGGGCATGTTTGATTGCTTTTTTAGCACCTACCGCAGGGATGGCGTCATGCGGGGCCTGTATGCAGGCTCCGTGCCGGCGGTCTTTGCGAATGTGGCCGAAAATTCAGTTCTCTTTGCCGCCTACGGTGGCTGCCAGAAGTTTGTCTCCTATGTGGTTGGCAAGGAGCTGGCTAGCGAGCTGACCACCACGCAGAACGCATGCGCCGGCTCTCTGGCCGCCTGCTTCTCCACATTGACCCTCTGTCCCACTGAGCTGATCAAGTGCAAGCTGCAGGCCCTGCGCGAGATGAAACACTTTGTGGAGCCTACCCAAACGGCCGACCTTCGCACGCCATGGACGCTAACACGTTACATCTGGCGCACCGAAGGTGAGTTCATTTTTTTTTTTTTTTATTATTTTGGAAGCTTCTTGATTAGATTATGTGCATATCTCGATGTTATTACTCTCCGTTTCTTCATAATTCATATTTAATCGCGAACGCTGTAGATACGCTGTAGATACGCTGTAGATACGCTGCACAAAAGCAATCAGCTGCGTGTTTACTTGATCGCTGTTGGCGTTGCCAGACCAATTCAAAAGTTGCAAATAGCTCGGATTCTTTTACTAGTTTGGCTTTCGATTGATTAAATTTGAAATAGCAAAAATTTGCCACAAAATATATGTCCAGGTTATTGTGTCTTTGATGTGCGCTCTTTTTTGTAGAAGCCAAATCCCAAAATTGTAATCTCCTCTGCCCATGCTCTCAGAAATTAGATCTGCTTGGTAAGGTGGTAAATTGCATTTAAATCCAGTTCATTTTGAATAGAAATAGCTCCTTGTAACTGAAGTTCATAATTTTATAATTATTCATAATATAGAATTTTAAAACTGCCATCAAATTTAAATAAAAATAATAACACTTGCAAAAATTAGAATATTCCCAATTTTAATCAGCTCCGAACTAGTGTATTTGGTACTGAGTACTTCGAATATGTTGTTAAAACTGATCTGTTTTTAAAGATCTGTCAATTTGTTGATACCCATGAATCATACATTCGTATAGAGCATATACATACATTTTCATTGAAGCAAATTTCCTATAAATTTATTCACTTGATTTGATTAATGAAATGATTCGACAGCATGCTGAATCGGCTCAAGTGAAGACCTTACTTATATGTATGCCACATCTGTTTGCCCATATATGTTATGAACTTTATTACGTAAAGAGTATAAAAATTCCCAGAATTTGTTGCGTTTTCTGTCTTCACATAATTATTGCTATATTTTACAAATCACATTTGTTCACATTTCTTTTTTCATAGTTTTTAGCTGTAGAGTTCTTGAGATTTAATCATAAATACGCACATAAATATGACGATCATGAATTAAAACGAAGCGTCGTAACAGGACTGATTATAATCTTAAACAAGTACAAATTTGTGCAACTGATAAAAACAATTTTTTTTTAACTTTAAATTAAAAACTTTAAATACACTCAATATATTATAATAGCATATTGATATATTGTGTTTAAGCATGGATAAATGGAGCTTTTGAAAATGTTTTGCATCTTTTATGGATAGTGATAGTTTCTATATACAAGTGATGTTTGGCCCTTATCAGTCAAGTGGAAATTTTACAGAATCTTTTTTGATTGATTGACAACAGAATGGAGCACAGTATACGCTGGCGGGTTAACAAAATCTTGTTGTGGTGCATTTGCGACGGCCTCGCACATTGCCAAGGGGATCGGTTTTCAAAATTGTTGTGATTGTTCGCTTTCATTCGCGCCTGGCACTCCAGCTACTGATAAGCAGCGTCACGACCAGGGTTACTCCACATAGGGGTTACTTGTAGTGTAGTGTAGTGTAGTCTATTAATAGAGCACTGGCCTCACGTGCGACTCGCTGTTATTTTCCATGCACCGTCACGTACTTGGGAATCACATCATATAAATCAGTATATGCCCACGTTCTCACTCTATCTCTTTCTAAGCATGGTTTTGATGTCCCTATCTCTCTCCCTCTTTCTTACAGGTATACGCGGGTTTTATCGTGGATTGGGCTCCACATTTATACGCGAGATGCCCGGCTATTTCTTCTTTTTTGGCAGCTACGAGGGTACACGCGAGATGTTGCGCGGGTGAGTACAAATTGTCGTATGCGTGAATGCGTAAATTAAAATTTACATTTATACATGACAGTAAGGATCAGACAAAGGACGAAATTGGACCGTTTAGAACGATGGTTGCCGGGGCCATTGGCGGTGTCTGTCTGTGGACATCAACATTCCCAGCAGATGTCATAAAGAGTCGCATTCAGGTGAAGAACCTCAATGAGGGCATGTTCAGTGTCGGTGCGGAAATTGTTCGACGAGAGGGCGTATTGGCCCTTTATCGTGGACTGTTGCCATCAGTTCTACGCACCATTCCGGCCACGGCCACCCTGTTCGTTGTCTACGAGTATACCAAGAAGGCTCTCCATGGGGCGATGTGACTGTGACCTGTGACAGTTGAGACAGGCGTGGGCGTGACCGCGGGCGGTTACAACAAATAAGCTCACGTTGCCAGTGCTCCATTATAAACGATTTCTGATTATGTTGCCTTTGTTATTATTATTATTATTATTATCGCTATAATTACTACTATGATTAGTATGGTATTGCTGAGCTCATCCACATCCTGCCCAGCTCCATTCGTCGCTGCTCTCATTCAGATACTGGCCGCCTGGCGGAGACGACGCTTTAAAAAGTCCTGCCGGTCCGCGGCCGTTTCCAGTTCGCGCCACTCATGCCAATAGATCTGCAGTTAGATGTACAAAATAGTTGAAAATAGTTTGGCATTCGATATGTTGATGGGAGGCAACTGCCCTGAAGCGTATATACGTAAACAATTTTTTTTGTATGACAATAAAAATGATTCAAGAAAAGTCGTACGCTTGAAAACTGATTAAAAATAATTTAATTTAATGTATTCTACTGCAACCAGAAAAACAAGGATTATTATTTGCCTAACCTATAGCATTTTATCTGATATCTGGCCTTTTTACCCATTTACCATTTACCTCCTTTCATAAACATTCGATCAGTGTAGTATCATTTTATTTGTTTGAATTTTCAAAACATTGTCCCCTAATACCCAACCAGGTAATAATTTTCTACACAGTTCTTCAACCAATTGTACGAGTTTATTTAAGGTGTTTAAAATAGAAAATCCCACATTGTTCATTCAATAATTTCACGAATCTTTCTTGAGACCGAAGGACTTGTTAGCATTGAATCAGTCATGGTCGGATATGGTTCGAAATCGGAATATTAATTTATCTTTTGCACTGCGCCGGACCTACAACTAGCCGCACTGAAACCTGAACCCAAGCAGTTTTAAATAAATATCAAATTTAGCCCGCACCCTCTATATGAAGTTGTGAAAGTTGGTCTGAATCATTAACTGGCCCAGCGACTTTTTTTTGTAGTTTGAATTTCAATATCGATTTTTCTCGATCATGGAAACAAGACCTGAGCGGGAACTAGAACGACCAACGTTTAAGTGTCTTGCTCTTATATAGTTTTGAGTTCGAAGCGTTCATACATATGGACAGGCAGGCGAGCATGGCTATATAAACTTGCCTGTTGATACTGATCAAAATTATATACATATACTCTATGATGTTCGAAATGTATCCTTGAATGTGTTACACACTTAACGAGTCGAGGATATAATTTAAACGAAAATTAAATACATTTCAACAAACCACTTACCACGACAGGCTTGTGTCCCAGCTGCTGCAGTTGTCGCAGCTTCATGGCAAACTGCCCCGTGTAGCGATCCTTCCCGCGTATGACATTATTCCAGCCGGCAACTGTAATGATCAGCGTGTCCATGTGTGCTGCTTCCCTGGGGCCGAGCAGGTGCTGCCGCGTAAGCAGGACGCCGCTGTAGTCCTCCGGACAGCTGGCATCTAGGGACACAGCGCGCTGCTGTTGACGATCGTAGCATACAACCAGATCGCAGCGATCGTAGTGGGGCAGTATATGCTTCAGGCCGACTGTGGTGCGCAGCAGACTGCCCACAGCATCGCGAATCTCCAGGAGAATGCGATCTGTGCTGTTGAGCTTGAATTGGATTTTCGCGCGATCCGGTATATACTGAGTGTACAGTTTGCCCATCTGCTGACGTTGCCGATCGGTGAGCCGTGGCCCTTCGTAGCCAGAGCCCAGCAGCTGAGCAAAGCTGTCCAGGTGGAAGTATTCGCGGCCGGGCAGGCCGCTTCGATAGGCATGGCGCAGGAAGCGCGGCTCCAGGGCAACGCTCAGCTGTTCGACATCGTAAATGTCGCGCATACTGAGAAACTGCAAGCAGTTGGAGTAGCAACGTGGATAGCGCACTATCTCGTCGATGCGGCTGCGCAGCATGTCCGGAAAACGCTTCACCAGGCGTTCCTCGACGCCGCTGGCGGTTCTCAGATTGAACAGTGCTATGACCAGACAAATGCGCTCCAAATCCTTGAGTCGTGTTGCATCAAGTTCGCGCTCAAAGCGCAGCAGAATGCGTTCCACAAGTTCATCATTGCAGGTCTGCAGCTCGCAGCCAAGCAGCGCCATGTGCAGGCAGGACATCAGCGAGACGCGCTCCACCTGCGGCTGGAGCGCCACCAGAAGCTTACTCAGTGCTTCCACCTGCGGCAACTTGCTGCTGTAGCGCAACACTTTGAGTAGCGCGACCAGTGTAATGTCCTCGACGCTGTCCAGCTGCGCTTCCAGGCGCGTGTAGAGCTGCTGCAGCAGCTCGGGATTGCGTATGGGCGTTTGTGTTTTGAAGAAGCCCATGGCCATGATACCTAGCTCCTGAAGCGTCATTTGGTGTACGCACTGCGCCAGATTTTGTTCAAAGTCGAACATCTCGAACACCGGCCGACGCAGCAGGTTGCACAGAAACATGGACTGCACCAGCTGAGCTGGAGGCATTTTTCGTATCTTGCGACCAAGCTTGCGCAGAGCTTGCCACACAAATTCACCAATCCGCGCCAGCCCTAGCTGGTACCAGGCATCGCTGACCAGCAGCAACTGTGCGCTGGACCAGCGCTCGATGCGGCGGCAGCACTCGATGTCCAAGGTATTCCACAGCTCCATGTAGTTGGCCACCTTCGTGGAGGCCGGCGTCGGCAACTGTTGCAGGCCGCGCAGCACACCCATCAGCTGCTCGTCGCTAAATTTATGTAGCTCGTCGCATAAAACGCCTATGAAATCTGTAAATCCTTTCTCACTGATCTGTGTGCCCGTGTGCGCGCAGTGCTGTATCAGCGCCAGCAAATTCGCGTACAATTCATCCGGTTGCGCATTCTTTTCAGGTTCCAGCACATGCTTGGGCGCGGCAAAATCAGCTGTGCTTGTTTTTGGACTATCACTGGAGCGCACAAGCTGATACGGTTTCAAGGATTCGGAGAGAATAGTGTGTGCGTACTGATTCTCAAAATCGACAAAAATTTTAGCAGGCAGCGCTGGCAAGGTGCGTATGTGACGATGCAACAACAGGCGGGGCGGACTCCGTGCCATGACCAAGCCACGCAGCATACATCTTGTTGTTGTCGATATCATTTCAGTTACAGTTTAATTCATAAATTCCGGATTTTTAAAAATTTCGGCGATATGTCAGGACAGTAACCAAAACCAACACGCAACAGAGACATCAGCTGTTATCAGAGTTGCCATACAATCATGTTGCTTGAGGTTGCAATACTATCGTCTTTTATATTTTCTCCTTATCGATACTTTTACGACGCTTACTATCGGTGGCGCATTTTCGATAATTTCAAAATGTACTCAATAATTATCCTATTAAACTTAAAAATCTAAAATAATATAATATAATAATAATAATAATAAAATATAATGAACATTAATAATAAATTCTCTCACATTTATATTTATTTATTTTAAACAAAAAGTATACCAATGGCGACCAACCTTAAATATGACGAAAGTAGACGGATATCTTATAAAGTTTTCCCCAATTCGAATTCTTGCAACTTACCAATCTACCGGAACCTTAAGAAAGATATCTTAATTTTTGGTAATAATATTTAACAAGTCAATTTCAGTATCGTAAACCGTAAAAAGTTTGACGCCGCAAATTTTAAAGATATTTTCTTTTGAAGCAATCTCGCTTTTGTTGCTTATAATCCATACAAATGTAAATGCTTATCAATATTATTTTTTAAAACTTTATATATAAGAAGGAATAATTATTTGTTGTTTTTGTTCTTTTCGTTATTGATGTATACGTAATACGCCGTTATACATAAATTTAATAGCTGACCATGAATAATATCTTTGTTATGTGTTGATGCTTTCCATGGAAACCAGTTTTTCGTTGATAATTTCTTTTTGAATTATTTATCTGGGCCGGGTTTCATGCATATGTATAAATGACGTATACGCCAGATAAGCCCAATTATCAAATACAGGCAATGATACAAATATGTTAAACATAAAGAAAATAACAAGAATTTATAATAATGCCCAAAGAGTAATTGGATCGTTCAGCAGATGAAATATAATAAAAGTTGCAAAACTGCAAATGTTTTTTTTTTTTGTAATTTCCGTTTACATATATATAAAACAAAAACTAATTGGTGCACTAATTTGAAATGTTTATGTATTGATGTATAAGATAAAATATTAATGGATATACCAAAAATATACTTGTAAATTACGTAAAATATATTATAATATACATTTTCATCTGACATAACCTTTAACGCCTTTTATTCATGATTGCGTGGAATTACTTAAAAAAATATTGTATGCCTACAATTGCATTGTGTTTCAAAAGAATGTTTTAAGAAATTGCACAAAATTTACATATGTATATACATGCCCATGTATACTACATACATATGTATATATGTATACATATGTATAGAGAGTGTTTAATAAGATGGCATAATGTTAATGATGATGATGATATCTTGGCAACTTTCTCAGTGCTCGTATTTTTCCATTTGCATAACAATTAAATGTTTTGTTTTAATAAAATATTGAATGAAGCTCAGCAAAATTGAAATACTCTAGAAATGATCCCAGCTTGGTTATACAAAGGAATGTGTCCAATTAGAATACATGTATTTCCCAACCAGAAATAACACTGCCTCAAACGAGACCCCATTGATGCTTCTAAGGTTTCGATATCGAATTCGTATCCAAAGACACTTTCATCTTGAACTTTCGTTTAACAAAATGCATGGCACCAAATGTTTTTGTTGCTGCTGCCGCTTTTTGCTGGCGGCTAGAAAAAATCGGTATGCGGCCGGCTGCGGCACATTTCATTTCAATAATAATGAAAACAAAAGTTTAAAAACAAACGAAGAAAAAATAAAAACAAAATAAAAAATCAACCGCTAGCTGCGCGCAAACGAGATCGTGGGGCAGAGGCAAAGGCAAAGGCAAAGGCAAAGACGCAGCGCACGCATCAAAAATGTGAGCGGGGGGGTCAGATGTTTGGGAGAGTGAGACGATGACGAAAATATGCTGCCCCAACTCCCCGCGCCGCTATGCTCGTAATGACATCGACAGTTTACAGTTGCTTGCCAATACCCTAACCTATTATGACATGCGGATCTTAAGGTTATGTTAGCACCTCACCTCAAACACATTCCTAACAAATATTATTATATTATAAATTTTTATATAAAAGAAAGTTCTTTTTAATATTTAGATTAACATAAATATGATATAAAATAAATAAAAAATATTTATCGTAATTAATTATGTAATAATGTCTAATTAAGTCCATTGTTTTAAAAATCTCTATTCGAACGTGCTTATTTGGTAAATGCATTTTTTTTTGACGAAAATTAATTCGACTTGATATTTTGATGTGTTTTAACACAAGTTAGGGTAGCACAAGGGCGACCCGCCGAAATTGTTATCAATTTTCCCGTTTGAGCTGCGCAGTCGATGATGGTATATAAATTATGACAAAAGAAAGACTTCGGTTTAAACCAATTTTGGCAATGCGCGCGGCCATCAGGTGACGGCGCGAGATCTGAGCAGAAGAACCAGAAACCAATATCGAGCCAAGCATACCACACCGAAAGCAGATACCCAAGCGCAGTCGTGTATTCCGTGATGGTACCGAAGGTGATTCCAGCTGTGCTGCTGGCGCTGCTGCTGCCGGCGATCGCGACGGCCTTTGGCAACGAATATGTGCACATTAAGGTGCATGTGCCCAAGGATCAGGCGCCGAGTATTGCCATTGATGCGGAGCAGGGACCGCAGCACAAGGTCATCCATCACTTTCACCACCATGCGGCGCCGCATCAAAGATTGCGCGCACGCCCACCGCCGAAGCCCAAGACAAGCCCGCTGCTGGAGAGCGTCATCTTGTCCGATCTGGACAAGCCGCTGCACATGAGCGAGCACGCGGACTATCTGAACCATGCGAAGGAGCTGGCCGAGCATCTCAGCGAAACATATGTGATTAAGAAGCCACCACTGCCGCCGAAGAAGAAGGTGAACACCTACACGATCATCGAGGAGAAGCACCGGCCGAACAGTTACGACTACGAGTCTCAACCAGAGCACGGCGTGGACACGTACCGGGTGCAGCATCATCATCACAAGCACCAGCACCAGCATCATCAGCTCGCCGACGACAATGACGACGATGTGGGCTATCACTATCCCGGCCCAGTGCACCACCATCGCCACAAAGGCTCCTCCTCATTGTACCATGGCGGCGGCTACGCGGAGCCAGCGCCGGTGGAAGAGCCCATGGATTTAGATCAGGGCTATAGCTATTCGCCGCCCCCCTATGTCCACGCCCGACCGCCTGCCCATACGCTGGAAGTGCCCGAAGAGTCATCTCTGGACAGCCCGTATCCATATGACTTTGGAAGCAGAAGCGCCACCAGCAGCAGCAGCAGCAGCTTCCGTCCATCACCGCAGCTGAGCACACAGCCAGATGCCTACGAAGACGAGATTGATTCTTATGCTGCACCGATCCAGTCACGTCGCCGTCGTCCCAGCCCCGTCGAGTGGCCCAGCCACGGCGGATTTAACAGCGCTGCCGCCGAAACATTTGGCGCCGCGGACAGCTACAATGCTGGACCCGGCAGCACCGGATATCAGTATACCGGGCCCTATCTGTAGTCGTGATTCTTTAATCTTGCTTTAAGGTTTATTTATTGGTTTTTTTTTCATAGTCTTAGTCTAAGATTAAAACTCAAAGTTCCACAAAATCAGAAAGTGTGCTTATACTCTCTTCACGAAGTGTAAGGTGTATATTGATTGGTGAAGTTCAATATGATCAATACAAAGTGCCACGCCCCATTGGGGGGAAGGTTACTACCCATGAGTTCCTCTAAAGATCAAACCAAAATATAATGCAGGCTCGCCCATTTGCAAAAATATTCTTTATAACTCATTTTACAGGTAATTAACATAAACCATAACCACAATGGTACCCACTAGCATGTACAACATTTTTCTATATATATATATATATATATATATATATATATATGTATATAGACTGTAATCGGGAAGCACGCCTGTGCTTCTTTACTTTGGCACACACTGTGTAAAAGTTATTCTTAAAAAGCATCGGTGATTATTGTCCGCTTTTTAAGCAATTTTCAGGGCTTGAAGTTTTTCCAATTTTGCTGGCGATGTATGAGGTATAAATATCTGTTTTCACCATAAGTAGACCTACAACCAAGATTGATATATCAGGCTCTTCTAATTTGTACCTTGTCCCAAATAAACTCGTTTGCGTATTGTATAGAAGAGCATAATATATTTTGTAGTTCTAAAATTGACGCATTCACATAGACAAGGCTAGGTCGACGCAGCTCGAATTGCCTTGGTCTGCAAGTATTTGAATTATTTGGAGCAGAGTATAGCTTATCTATCAGTCGGCCATACTCGAACCGAACTGTTCTTCTTAATTATGAATAATTTATTTATTATATATATTATATTATTATATTATATGTTATATTTGATATATTATATATGATGTAGAATCCAAATACATTTTTAATTGTTAGCCTTTGTCTTTCTATTGACTTTCTTATGAGCATGTTGGATATATGACTTTTTATATTCGCTAAGTTGATCAACTTTGTCGACAAATGAAATAGTAAGTTAACAATTTTTCCTCGAGTGCAGAATTCGATCTAGATTTTCATTTGAATTTAGTTGAGCGAGTCTCCAATTGTAGTCCGATCTTCGAATGCTTCTCAGTGAATATAGCATTAGGAATTGGAATAGCATTAATTTGGAACCCGTTCCCTTTCCACCTTAATATGCGACGTATACTTAGCAGGATTTATCTCGTCGAACTTGCTCTTTGATAGACGCAAAGCAATATGTTTTCACTTCAATTCTAAAAATAAGATTATGAGAGTAAAATAATAGGATAAAATATTTTGAGCCGCTTAAGCTAGGTTGATGGAAAAAGAAAAAAACACTAATGAAGCAAGATCGGGTAACACCATACCTCTGTGTACTTTCCTTTCAGATGTGTTTCACTCTTTCAGTCAAATCAACGCCTTCTGGGTGGAAAATTTGTTTGTTTCTATTTTTATTTACGATCTATCTCATCGATAATAAGTAATTTATGTGGTGTAGATATTTGCATGTGGTTTTTGTGTGTATTGGCACTGGTATTTTAAACGGTCTCACCACTCTTTGGGCGGTCTAAAAGGCAGGTCGAGTGGGTGGTGTCTTTTAAGGCGTCGGGGGTGCAGGTTGTTGTCGAGAAGGTCTTTTGCAAGGCGGTTGCAGTGGTTGTGCAGTCGGTCTGCGTGCTTCAGGCTTATTCGTTTCTCTTCTTCGGTGACGGATGGGACTTTGAGGTCATTGTGTATTACACTGTTCTGGGTGGAAAATGAGGGGAATTTGTTCAAGTTTCGAGCAATCGGCAAACGGTTCCGACTCTTGGTTCTTCATGCGATTAATTTCAAACTTTATTTATTCACTTGTACATTTTTGTTTGAGGCGAGAAATTCTGTGTGGAGTAACTAAAATTTAAAGCAAACAAAAACTTAACTATAAAATTAGCGATACCCATACCCATAAATAAGCAATGTTGCAATGGCATTAATTTTAGTGGAATCGACGCCCATCATCAAAGTGCAGTGAAGCATGGGGTCATTTTGTCCTTGTGCGCCACGTTCCGTTGCAGATGGGCAACTGCGATAGGATCGTCGATGGGGACTGAATTCTGATGGCGGATTGAGGTCAAACGACGATGGGCTACCATATTGACAGGGTGCTGCAGTTTCACCTGCGCTTTTATCAGCTGCTTGGACTGCACGGGCTGCCGCTGCCCGGCGACGTGCATCCGAGCCGGAAGGCGAAGCTATTGCAACTCTGGGCCGGCTGCCTGCTGACAGGATTTAGTACAATTGTATTCGTGTGCGTGACGAGCGACGATGCCTATCTTTACAATGGCGACGCCTTTAGCTGCTTCAACGACGGCATGAAGTACGGATTTGCCGAAATGGCCGTAATGAGTATCTACGGGGAGTCACTGCCCTGACATCGGGTCCATCTGGCGCGCTTCTGGCAACTGTATGGATCGCGAACGCCGCCAGCTGGCACGCTGCGGCAGCAGCTGGTGCAGCATCGGCGCTACCTCATCTTGTTGTACGGCCCACTATTGTTGGAGCTGGTGCTGCTGAGCCTGTTCGTTGCCGCACAGGATATCTCCCATCACATTCTGCTCTTTTGGAGCACCTTTCAGCCGTTTGTGTTTGTGGTGCATCTGCGCAACACGCAGTTTTTGCTGCACCTGGAGCTGATGCGCCAACAGCTGGTGCAATTGGAATGCGAGCTGGGGCTGCTAGTCGAGTACTCGACCTTTGCCAGCGGTGCAGCCAGCTTCACTGGATTCGAAGACTACCTAAGGCGGCGAATGCGCGAGAAGCAGCTAATGTACGAGCGCATCTACGAGCTGTGCGTCAGCTTTAGCAGGGCCTTCAGCTATTCCGTGCTCGCCGTGCTGCTCATGATCTATATACGCATCACAGTTGATTGTTATTTCTTGTACTACACCATCTACATGAACATCGACAATATTGGTAAGTTGTCCACCTCTCTCTGTCGCTCGTTCTATCTCTTTCTCTGTCTTATCCGCTCTTACTTGAGATTTCACAGACTATTATATGCTGGTGCCCGCTGTCATGCAGATACCCGCCTTCGTCTACGCCTCACAGAGCTGCATGCAAATGGTGCCCCGGATCGCCTACCAGCTCCACAATATTCTGACCACCTCCTCGGCACTTTCCCTTCAGGTGCGCAACTAGTGCAAGTATTGGAGATCGCATCTCAATTGTCATTTGCTCTTACAGATCCAAAACTTTTCGCTACAAATTCTACACGAACCTGTGCGCATTGATTGTCTGGGCATAATTGTTTTGGACTGTCATCTGCTAACACGGGTAAGTGGAACACCAGCAGAAGCTAGCGACTAGTACGACTAATCTCAATGTAACCCATTAGATTGCGTGCGCCGTTTGCACTTATATGATCTTTACCGTACAACTGATGCCCAAGTTGAGTGGATCCTATATATAGTCAGGCGATTAAAGAATAGGAGTAGAGCAAGAGTGGCATTGTCCAATGTATGTTATATTAAAGCTTTATGTATGTATAGTATATTCAATAAAATTATTTCATTAATGCCTTAAAACGAGTCGGTCAAGCATCGATCTGGTTGTTGGCTATGTGGGGGAGTGTGGGATTGCGCGAAGCAACGTTTTTTATTTACACGTGCGTTTAGGTTGGACGGGCACTTTTTTTTTATCGAGGAGCGGGGCGGACTACTAACTAAACATCATTCAACCCATCCCAACCAAATACCCGTCTTGCAACAGCTGGCGGGAGTTGGAATTCGTCTTGCTTAAAGTACGATTGCAGTTAAGTGCGTATCTTATACATATGTATATATAAATACCAATATACCATATATATATATATATAAATCCCAATCGTAGATATATATACATATATATGTATGTATGGGTCTGTGTAGCGCTACTAAGCGATCTAATCGTATTCATGGCTTGATTCCCGTTTTGCAATCAGATTCTCGCGCTCATCATCGTTGCCCTCGATAATGGTGATGGTGTTGGAATGGGCCGAGCGATTTAGCGGCTTAACGCGATGCACCGACGCGGTTAGGCCAGATTCGGTGACAACCTCCACCTCGTCGTCCTCATCGTCATCGGGCACTGTGAAGTATGGATGCGATGAGACTGGGCGGAACTTGTAGCCCGTGAGCACAAAGAAAACATATGTGGCCATTTCGCGGAACATCTCGTCCAGCCAGGCATATTGAAAGACGACCGTCATCTGTAGCAAGTCCACAATGATGCGCGTAAAGTAAATGTAGCAGACGATCATAATATAAAACTGGCGGAAAAGCTTCAGCTTGCGAAGATTAATTGCCGCCTTTCCGTCTGTCGCGGACGCCTCGTGCAGATGGCGAATGGACCACACAATTGGCAACAGTATGGCGCCGCAGCATAGCATGTCCACACAGAAGAAAATGTTGTGCCAGGTGCGGAACTCGGCGTCGCTTTGATCCGATTCGTCCGTTATAATTTGCGCCACATTGGCCAGAACCTAAGCACAGATTAGAAACAGTATATATTCATCGAATGTTTTAAGACAACACAATTGATCGCCAACCTGCAGCGGAATGACAATCATGAAGATCTTCTTGTCCTTGTCGGAGAGTATATGTTTGATAAATGTCCAGCCAGTGCCAATGAGCACAATAGTTATAAACAGCACGGCACCCTTCAGTAGATGCGCTATGTAGTAGAGTATCGCCCAGGTTTCCACATGCTCACCACGTTTCTCAATGAAATGATAATTGATTGAATGAAACATAAGAGACAGCGACTTAAGGAAAACGAGAACGGCCATAAGGTAATGTATCTTGTAGACAGTGTGCCTGTAAAATAATTTAACAGCATGAATACTATGAAGTCCGTTTGTCCAATGCGCACCCACTTGCTCTTCTTCAGGATGAACACCCAGAATAATCCGGACAAAAAGAATAACAGACTCATCATAAAGTACAAGGCGGGCAACGGCATTTCACCGGCCGACAAGTAATTGCCATTGTTGTTTTCCTCAATGTCCACCTGAAATTGCAAAAATTAGCTACTTATTTTGGACTGCCCTGTCACAAACTCAACTTACATTAAAAGACAGCATCTTGGGGTTAAAATAGTTGGGACAGGCGTGAAAGTATAAATTGTACAATCCCTCATCGTGCTGCGTGGCCACAAACATTGAAAACGTAAAGTTGTAGTAGTTGGTGCCCTCGACTGTATGCTTGATGAGCGGCAGCGTGAAATTCTTGCACAGCTCTTCCTGCGATTGCCTGTAGGAGTTGAATTCATAAAAGTTAGACCCAGAGCCCCGAGAACTGTCCACCGGAAGCGCTGGTTCCAGTTCGGCATCATCGAGCTTCTTGTTGTTGTTGCTGCTAGACGAGGTAGATGATGCGGCGACACCTGCACCATCGTCGCCAATAGCTTTGGCACCGGCCTCAACTTCTGCTTCATTGCTGACACTGAGCACACCACTCGCCTTGGCGGCATTGAGGGCAGCTGGTGGAGCTGCTACAACTGATGGAGCACTTGCTATGTCCACTTTTGGTTGCACAGGTACCTTTTTTGGTTCCTCAAGTACTGAAGACTCATTCGGCTCCTTTACGGCAGGTTCTACCTTTGGCGCTGCGTTAATTTTTCCAGCCACAATGGGCGACGATAGCTTCGGCTGTTCGGCATTCGGCTTCGCTTCAGCTGCATCCAACTCTGGTTGCATAGGTTCCTCAACCGAATGATCATCCATGTCATCGACTGCTTCGTCCGAATCAACGGGCATCACAGCGCGACGGCGACGCTGCTGCATGAACAGCGCAGTGTCGCTGACCTTTGCGACATGCGAGTTGCGCTTGCGACGGTACATCACATCCTTGTAGATATGCTTGTTTTCCCATTCCGGTGAGCACTGCACACGTACTCTGGGAAAAAAAAAAGCTAATTATAGGCGCCCACTCGACAGTCGATGAGAAGAACCTTACTTGAGCTCCTTCAGATCCAGCACAAAAAACAGAATTGGGCCACTTTTTTGGTTGGACGGCAGCTCCTCTAGTATGCACTTATTTTGATGCGAGTCCAAGTACGGATTAAGCTGATCAATGCTCGTCTTGTCCAACGACAGGCCAAACTGCAATGACCAATAACATATAAATACTTATTATAACTATGCGAAAGCAAGCAATTTCATTGTGCGCACCAAATCGGTCGACTGCTCATCGTCAACTGTTAGCTGACTCAGCTGCACGTCCAAATGTCCGTTTGTGTAGAAGCCAAAGGTGCTCAACGCAATATAGGGGCGCATATCATTCTGGAAGAACACAAAGACATCTATATATTTAACTACACTTACATGCATACATACTTATGTATGTGCACACGTAAATGGGAGCCCGGATCGGGATCGGAATCACCAAACGCGATGCCGGCTCCAATTACTTACGCGAACTTCCAAGTGATGTTTGCGCGAAAAAACGGCATTTGGTGCAATGAGCAGTGCTGCGATTATTGTGACAAATATTGATTTAATATTTAATATGTGCGCTGGCGTTAGCGCACGCATTTTTCCTGCTCTTGTTTATTTTGCCTGTCGCCTGTGTGGCACTTTTTGCATGTATCGAAATCGATATGGATATGCCAACGCAGTTGGAAACTAATGTGACTACGATTTTAATTAATTAAAGTTCGATTTGCTGCGCTTGCGTTGCTGTTGCAATTACAATTGTTCACACTTAAACGATATCTTTTGCTTTTTGTTTGTCGTCTTGTTGCACGCAATAAAATTCGTAGTTAGTACATCAGTGCTGCTAGCGATGGGTAAAAAATAGATATCGATTCATCGATTTTACTTTTGGAGGGCCATTTTTCCAAATTCAAATTTGAATTTATCCAATACGATGTATCGTTTATTAATTGTAGAAATTTTCTCAAAGAAAGTATAAATTTAACACAATTTGAAATAAACGTGATATTTCAAATTCAAACGAAATTTTTCAAATTTGAATGTCAAATCGATCAACTGACAATACGATTATAAATTGTAGGTCTAATTTTAAATTAAAACTGACTGCGTTTGTAAGAGTTTTTCATATTAGGAACCTTTCACTCATCAGTAATCAGAATCAAACCATTGGAAAAAATGGCAAATCCAATTAGATTAAATATTGGTAAGCGTCCGACAGATAGAAAACAAGCAAGATAAGGTGTAATTAGCCACAAACACTTTATATACTTTATCACTTATATCCAAACACTTTATATACTTTATCACTTATATCTTCCCCACAAATAAAAACTTTTTATATTGAGGTGCAATGCATATATGTATGTATTTCATTTTTGTTGAATTTAAAAAGGCTACGCGATAGAGACAAACACAGAAAAGCACGATTTTCGATTCAGCTAAAAATAATTGAGATAATTCAGTTAAATATGCAACTTTATTCCATATAACCAATGTGAGGCTCCGTTGAGGATGTGGCGAGCTCACGGCGCGAGTGCAGGCCATGTTCACGGAGTCGGGGCTTGAACTTGCCAACACCCAGCGTAATAGTTGCTGGAGTCTTTTTGCCTCGAAATGTGGCTGCCTCAAATGAGGGCGGTGGCGTCAGTTTAGACGGCTTTTTAGATTTCATTACCATATCCTCAGTATTACGCTGGGCATCGAGCCAGGCAATTTTAGTGGGCTCATTGACGTCCATCGGCTTGACCTGCGTAACCAATGCCAAGGAATTTTGCTTTTTTTGATAGTACATCACCTCAAAAGCCAGCGTAATCATAGCCATAATGAGGCCAAGCAAGGTGGCTATGAAAACGCCACCCAAACTCTCCAGGGTAATACCCTCCTGATCCTCGGAAAGGGGACAGTTGCGTACATTCGATATATTCCAGTACTTTGCCTTGAGCTGTTCAAAGAAGCGTTCCTTCTGTAGCTCCAAAATCGCATAGCTTAGCTCATCCTGCCACCAAATGTGGAAAAAAAAGGTATTATCAACAAACAAAAAAAGCAAGAACAATAATACTCACGCCCAAATGGCTACCCTGCTGGGTGGCGACGGCATAGGGTTGCTCGGCGAACACTTCGCCAACCTCCGTTAGATTGCAGTTCCTGGTGACCTCGTACTTGATCTCCGCGGAGTCGTGTATGAACGCATAGTCCGCATTGATGTGCGCGTCCACTATTTCAAAACCTTCGGTCGCATTCTGAACCGGCTTCGAGCTATTAATGGCCAGCAGTATGTGCCCATACTGTTCCTTAATGGGATAGTCCCAAATTCGAAACTTTCGAAAGTCGCGGGATGCATTCAGGGCCAGCTCTTTCCACAGACGATATAAGGTATCTTCGGCGAATTTCATGTTCATGAAAAAGTGATGCGTGTCCGAATCCTTGACAACGGTGTAATTAATGCGTGATTGTCGCGCCAGCTGCTCGAGCGACTGCACCGGCGTCTGCATGCGCTCGACAGTAAGAAACGCAGCCAAGTTTGCCGTAAACGTGGCCAGCATGAGCACCACAAATAGCCAATAGGCGGCAACCAGGAGGCGTCCGGAGATCGCCTTGGGCGCCTCGCCGCCACCTTGCGGCGTGAACGAGGTCAGGGCAAACCAAAAGCTCTCGCGAAGCGTAAACTCCCGACACTCGTACGGATAGGCATCGCGATTGTTGCGCGAACTGTACGGCGAGAACTTGTCCATGAACCAGATCATCAGTGCCGTGCCCACCAGGGCGGCAACAATGCTCAGCCAGACCTCCAGGCGCAGCACCGTCATGAACTTGAAGAGCGAGGTGCGTCGCATCGGCTTGCGCATTACAATGGAGATGCCAGTCTGCTCGTAGTAGGGCGGCAAAAAGTCAACCACTTCCTCGCGCTCCGAGTACATCTTGAGTGCAGCGATGGCAAAGTCTGTCTCGCCGCTGACCAAGTCGCCTATGACGCCATCCCACTCGCCCAGCTCATTGCGTTCGCCCATGTGTCCCTGCTTGGGTGCCACAATTTCGAAGCCAAAGTTCAGCTTATCTGCTAGCCGCTCCATAAAATCGATGCAATAGCCCTCCCAGATAGGATCACCGTTCCTGGTTCGCAGCAGCTCGCCGGTGTCCGGGTTGCGGCGATAATAACTCCAGGGCAGGCTCTCGGCGGTGCCAATTCGAAAGAAGCGCCGGCTTGGGCTAATTGTCTCGTTGAGCAGTCGCAGCTCGCCAGCTCCCCAAACGGCCAGGTCCGTCTTGGCCTCATGTTCGCTGGAATAGTAGCCAATCGAAATATTGGCCACAAAGCTCAAATTGGGCACTGGCTCCTCTTCGGCCACCTCTGCCAGGGTCTCGCTCTTATATGGCTCCTCGCTGCTCGGCATATAGCCCACAAAGTTGCTCCAGTGCACATTCTCCATCCAAAGGCTGTTGGCGGTCTCCGCACTGGTTACCTCGGCGCTGGCATTGCAATCCAGGTAAACAGGCTGTGGAAACGACTGGCTCACCTGCGCTGCATAGATAAGACTCCGCAGCACATCCAGCAACAGACCGCGGTGCAGCTGGAAAGATTTCTTAGATATATATCCAACATGTCTAAGCTTCGAAGCGCAAATGGATATAAAGGTAAATTGGTTATGTGCAAATGTGTTTAACAGACAGAAGGAAGCCTCTCTGATCCCTCGACAAACTAGATCTAGATCGGCTAGACATCTCAGTCGCGTCTCTGGAACATTAAGAGCTTCCATGCAAGTCAAAGGTTGTAGGAGCGAGCTTCGTCCGATCGGCTTCCGAGATCTACATTCAATTTGGAAACCGACTAGAGAAAAGGGACCTGAGCGCTCCAGGCAAAGCAAGGTAGGTCCTCTCAGATCATGCAGTCACATCTCGGGCTTACCGTAAATCCGCTTCCACAGTAAAGATCTCGCATCTGCATTGAACGGCAGATGGCGCGTGCGTTCAAAGTAAACCGTGTCGCAAACTCCACCTGTCGCTTGTACTTGAAAACGCGATCCCTGGTGTCCAGAAAAACCAAGTGCCACTCGGTGGGTCGTTGGAATAGCTTGCCCATATCCACCTGCAACGATATGCAGCACACTCTCAAACTGATTTCAACAGGATTACGGTCCGGGCCAACAATACTTACGCGCTCGAAGAGACCATTCATGGCGGCGCCACGGGCGAACATTGCATAGTAGGTGGGAGGAGGTCGCAGCGAATGGATACGCGTGACAAAATCCTCCGACTGCGTGTCGCTGGCATCCAGGATGAGAGTGCGAAAGGGATAGCCAGCCATTAGCTGTTTCATGGCCTCCATCGAGTCGCGAGCACTTTGAAAGATCATGGCCACATTATTCGCATGCTTCTGCCGCATAAAATCGCCAAACATGTCCAAAAAGGGACGCATTACCCGCTCCAGGCGCACATACGCAATGCCATTCAAGCGCGCCAGCTCGTAGCCCTCTGACCAGCGGCTGTAGCTAAGATCCACGATCACCGAGCTGCCCACACTGCTCAGAATCTCACAAACTGTGCGGGCCCAAGAAATTGAATTTAGCTTGTCTTGGCAAATGCCGGCTACTTACAGCTGTCCATGTCCTGCTGCTCGTCGGTGCGCGTGAGCTGCACCACCGAATCGGTAACGGTCACATCCAGCTGCAGTGCATCCAGTTCCTTCAGGACAATCGCAATATCTGCTTCAAACTCTGCTCGCTGCACTGGCTCGATCCAAAAGGCTGACAAGAGATGTAAACGCAGAGAATTGAAATTCCTACCGCATGACCTCCCATACAATCGCACATACTTATCTTAAGCTCCCCAGCGCTGGCCAGGCTTAGGCTTCGGCTTAGGCTCATGCCAATGCCCAGGCACAGCCAGAGCCTAAGTATGTCCAACCGATCCATTCTGACCATTAGCTGCGAGTGCTGCCCGTAAATTGGTCACAGACTGCGTCAGAGTCCACGCCAATTGACATGTAGCCCGTCCTGCCTCATTTAATTGCGCCTAATTTGTGGCCATCGATTGGACGTCCGTCAAGGCATTATGCATTTTAAAGCAGCTCCTACATACATAGCTGTTGTCCCAGTTGTCAATTCAAAAATCGCATTAAATTTGAATGCTGTCACCGACGGATGACCCCACAAGGACCTGCTCACTGGGCGTATTATGCAATATACAAGTCAGAAATTGCAATTCGCTAATCTATTCAAGGCAAGGATTGCCGACTTGGCGATACTCTGTATCTACCCACAACTTTTTTATTTTCGATCCTGAGTTTTTCTTATTTTTCAATTTTGAAGGAAGATGGAAAAGTAATAGGTATATAAGTTTTTTTTTTTATCAATGCTGTATTTCTTTTTAATGTATTTTTGGCAGCTTCAAAATACTGAGCACGAAGCTTCGAAGTTTTTAATGCATCAAAACGTAAGCATTTTATATTGTGCCCTTCGGCCGAAATAATTGATGTGTGGGAAAAGCAATATGTGCAATTAGAGCAGTTTTGAGTTTCCTAGCTAACGTTTAGTTCCTTAATTGGGCCTTAACAGGGACAACGGGGCCGTTGAATGCGTAAGGACCGCCCGATGCGAAGAACCGGCATTTAATTTCATTGCATCAAAATTGCAAATGCTAGTATTTAAATATACTATGAGATCATTAATATTGGTTTTTGTAAATGAAGCGTTGCTTTAAATATTGTCCATGCATTTGGCAATACTCTAAAATTGCTGGCGAACAAGGAAACATTTTTTTTATTATATGTAAATGTCTTAAGAACAAAACACGCTTGCTTGTTTTTATTTAAATCCTATACTTTATAGTACATTCATTACAAAACTTCTTTAAGCCCGTGATGTTGCAGCTGGAGTAAAGGATCTTTTAGGAGATAATGGGGGATGCAAGTTTTAGACGGGCTTACAGGCGCGGCTAGAAACAAATATATATCCGATATTTAAATTTCCGGAGTTTCAAACACAAAAACCAATACCTGGTTAGCCAGACGTAATATACATAGATATATTAACCAAATAGTACTATGCACAATGTTTCCGCCTCCTTCACAGTCTCCTGCTTAATGACCTCCACCATATAGCGATAAGCAAGCCTATAAAACGTTTGACCCCTATTTTGCACACACTGCACAACAAATTTCAGATTCCCAACAAATGGTTTGGGCTGTGCGTGGATCAGCTGCCTGATTGATCAGGGCAGTTTTAAATATATAACTATTTTAACTACACAGCATTCAGTTTTCTGCCTGGAATTAAGGACCTGAATCATAATAATAACATAGTAAACGGGGCTTGTTTTCCATTATAGAATTATTACTTGACCCCGCACTACATTGTAAGACTGACAAATCAACGAAAAGAACACAATCTCCACATATAATTTAAATGATTCATTTATACAATGTCTCGCTTTGATGAATCTGTAAATATATATTCGCCCGACGGGCATTTGTTGCAAGTCGAATACGCTCAAGAGGCGGTGCGCAAAGGCTCCACAGTGGTAGGTGCACCTTTCTGCGGCATATACATATATTCTAGATCAGTATCGGCCGAGTCGATATAGCCGTGTCCGTCTGCTCCAATTGAAATATACCTTAAGCCCGCATTATGTCTGCAAGGCCTCCTTGTTGCTTTTTATCGCTCATTCTATTGCTTTCTACCGCTGTGCCGCACAGGTGGGACTTCGGACCAAGGAATGCGTTGTGCTGGGCGTGGAGAAGAGAGCCATTGATTCCCTGCAGATCGAGCGTACGTCGCGTAAGATTAAAAAAATAGATCAACATATGGCAATGACCTTTGCGGGTCTCACGGCCGATGCTCGCGTATTGGTGAGTCGCGCCCAGGTCGAGGCCCAGAGCCACCGATTGAACTTCGATCGGCCAGCATCTGTGGAGTATATTACACGGTGGGTGGGTTTAACCAAGGTTAACCAAGGCTGATCCTCGAAACTAATGTACCCGCAGATATCTGGCCAGACTGAAACAGACGTATACGCAGAGCGTTGCACGACGTCCGTTTGGCGTCTCCTGTCTGATAGGTGGCTTCGATGAAGATGGCAGGCCGCGTCTATTCCAGACCGATCCCTCGGGCATCTACTACGAATGGTCGGCCAATACGACGGGCCGCCTGGGGCAAACGGTGAACGAGTACTTGGAGAAGAACACAGCTGTCATTTCCAGGGCCCCTGACGCAGCCTCAGCCATGAAGCACGTGGTGCGTGCCTTGTTCACGGCCACATCGCTGGATGCCAGCTTCTATGAACTGGCTGTGCTCAGATACCGGCAGCCAATGGAGATGGTCAAACCGGAAACGTTGGAATATCTGGTGGGGGTCATTAAACAGGAGACTGTGGAGGAGGCGGTTAAGCAAAGGCGCCGTAACGCGCTTTGACGTGCAACTACGTGCATAGTACTATTTGGTTATATATATTTCGTCTGGCTAACCAGGTACATTTGCACACTTATTGATTGTTTTTGCGTTTGAAACTTTATATACATATTAAAATTTCGGATATATTTGTGTATAACAGCGAGCTTATCATCTAAAACGTGGCAGGTAGATTTCTCATTATCTCCTAAAAGGTTCTATATTTATTACATAACTAACGGTGCATTAGTGTTTAATTCATCTCTTTCGTATAAATAAAAATACTCAATCATGTATTGTTTTTAGGAAATTTATAATACAAAAAACTGTTTCCTTATTCGCCACCAATTTCGAATATTGCCAAATGCATGGACAACATTTAAAGCGTGGCTTTATATACAAAAAAAAATATGTTAATGATTTCATAATATATTTATATATCAGAGCTGCTTAACAAGTATAGCTGATAATTTATTAACCTTAAACTTTAACCAACATACGTACCGCACAATACGTGTTAACTACATACATCTAAGTAATTATTAATCAAGATCGTTTACATTTTTCTGAGTTTTAACGTAAATGAATAAATGAAAACAAATAAAATTATATTTATATATGCAAGTGTATAAAGAAAACCAATGGGGGTCTGTAATTCCACGTAGAAACTTATGTTACTCAAGTGCCATGCAAATGCGAGAGTATCGATTCAATATCCTCGATCTGGACGCCGGCATCGTGCCCCTCCAATTGCTGCTCCTCGCTAGTGTTTCCCTTTAATGGTGTATTGCTGCGTTAAGAATTGGAAAGAACATAAGAAAAGTAAAGTAAAACAGTCCAGATATAGAAACCTTACGGCAAATCGTATTCGTTAGAACGAGAAAGTAAAGCGTGCGACTTCTGTGTGGCACACTTGCCATCTCGCTTTACTCAATGATACGAATTAACATTATGAGAAACTACTTCTAAGCGCAGTGAAATCTTACAAAAATGGTATTTTAGAGAAAAACTAGGAAAAATGGAGTATCATGGGATACAAATAATGTAAAATAAATACATCAATGCGAGCCTTTTGGCCTGAATAGCTGGTAGCGTTGTTTTAAGACGGGTTAAAATTGGTTGGGTTAAGGCTTTGTCCTACTCTTTTATAAATTGATATATGTATAATTTAGATTTTTGGGTGCAAACTATAAACTGCGTTTTTCTAGCAAGTAAAAATAATAGAGTGAATAATTTAAAACGTAGCTGTTATTTTTGACATGAACCAAAACAGAAGGTGGCATTGTACATGTATATAGTATACAAAATGGCAATGGATTTAAATCCGGTATCGATTATCGATTGGATATAAATTCAGGTTATCCTTTAACTTACATGGAGGCCACTTCGGAATCGTTATCATCGCGCTCTTCACTCTGTGCGTTTCTGGCCAGCGGCGTTGATGCCGCCATCGGCTTTTCTTGGGCCACGGCCTGGTCCTGGTTTGTGCCGCTCGTGAAGCGTATGATCCGTTTTTTAGGTATGTTGCGTATGCATGTGGCATTCGCATTGTCCTCTGTGCTGGGCTGTGCCTGGTGGAGCAGCTGTGGACTCGTAATGCGCACAGTATGCATTTCGCTGTCCACCATGATGCGCATTTGAAAATTTGTAAAGTAGGCGGGCGGCTGGCGGGGCACGGGCTGGGCCGGCTTGCTGCCGCTGTCGGCAAAAGCGAAACAGAATGTGTTGGCCACATGACTGGCGCTCGTGCACATGTCCAATTCGTACTCGCCACTGGCAACTGGGGCTGGCGACTGCGCCTGCGGCGGCAGCTGTTCCGGCGATAGCTGCGTTGTCTGCGCCTCGGCCAGCGTGGCCAATGTAAGCGCTACAGTCTCCATGCGCGCCTCTGCACGCTTCTTGGCCGGTTTCTTGGCTACCTTGGTACTGGTCGACGCCTTGGCTGGTTTGGTTGCCTCGCTGCTGCCAGGCTGTGGCTCTTCAGGCGCGGGCGCTGCAGGAAAGAGAATATTTAGTCGCCTTTGCCAAATGAGGATCAGCTACTTACTCTTATTGTCAATGAGACGCGAGGAGCGTCGCATGCTGCAGCGCGACGGCTCCGTATTGGGAGGCTTCTTGGGTCGGCCGCGTCGCTGGCCAGTGCTTGTGGAAGGCGCCGGCTTAGCCGCTATTTGAACTGTGGCACGTGCAGTCTTTGGCTGTTGCTGCTGTTTCTTGGCGCTTAGATTCAGTGCAATGAGCAGCGCCGGATCGAGATTGCTGCTGGACGGCTCTTGCGGCTCCGAGATGGCTTTAACTGGTTCACTGGAGGCTGCCTTGGCCTTGACTGGTTTACATGGTGCTGGTTCATTCTTAACTGATTCAGTTGCTGTCGCTGAAACTTTTGCTTTTTTCTCAGGCTTCGTTGTTTGTGATTCCTTTTTAGGCGATTTATTTGCATGAATGGGATTGGGATTCGTCAGCTTGGCTGTATCGCGCATGGTTGTTAGCTTCTTGTTCGGTTTCTTGGGACGCCCCTTTGGCGCCGTCTGCTGCTTAACCTTCGCCTTGACGCGTTCACGCACCTTGGCTAGATCCAACATACGCTGCTCGATGGATTCAACTTGCTGGCTGACCTCGTTAGCGATCTTGGGAGTCGGCGTGGCCTTCTTGACGGCTGGCACAGCTGCTGGCGGAGCTGGCGGAGCAGGCGGGGCCATTTCCCCACTAGTGTCCGCATCCGCAGCGGCAGCGGCAGTTGCAGCAGCATCTTTACTGGGCGTCAGCCAATTGCGCAACGGATAACGCACCTCACCATCCTGGCTAACTAGCTGCGCTGCCTCGCTGTCAATGGCCAAGGGTGGTGCATTAAGTGAGCCAGCGGCAGCAGCTGCTTTTACCCATTCCTCATCCTCGGTGCTGCTTATATCAGAGAGATTTTCCAATTCCAACAGCTTTATGGTGCACGCAGGCAGCACTGCGTTCGTCACCTGAGTGGTGTGTGCTGATCCGGCGGTTGTGTTGCTGCTGCTGTGGCTGCAGCTGCCGCTGCTGGATGAGCTGGAGCTGCTTGAGGAGGTTGAGCTGCCGCTGGAGCTGCTGCTGGAGTGATCCACGACCGCATCGGGCAGACCGCCCACCAACTTGTAGTGTGGCGTCTCCACCAACTGCAGTTCCGCATTGCCAGACAGGGCTGCAGCGTCGGCGCTATCCACTGCCTCGCTGCCAAAAGAGCGCACGCGACGCAACACCATGGGCTCGACGGGCACCCGCTCAGCGTATAGCTCAATGCACGTGGTGCTTTGCTTGGCAACCTGCTCTACGTGATCCCTTTTCGGCGTTGGCTGCAGTGCGCACTGCGCGTTTGTGTCGGTATGCTCGGCCTCATCTGGGCGGTAATAGGAACTCCCAGAGGAGTAGTCCGTTTTGGCCGCGCTGCTGTGTGGCGTGCTTAGCGCATGGCCAAAGGGAGTGGTCAGGCGCATGCCTGGCGTAATGGCCGTCAACATGGGCGTGTCTAGTATGCTCTTTGTATCGCTGCCAAACAGAAATGACGCAGATGGCAGCAATTTTGCGTAGGGCGTATTCAATGTCGACATTAGCGCTGGGCCGGGTGTTGGCGGCACGTCGTTCGCTTCCGACAACGTGACCTTGAACGGCGTCTCTAGAAGAACTTCTATATTGCCTATGCGCTCCGCTGGCTTATCTTTGGTCTCCGCCTTGACGGGCGCTGGATCAGGCTGTTGCATCTGCTGCCGGACCTGCTCCTCCCGCTGCTGCTGTTCCGGCTGCTGTTGCTGCACATGCTCAGGCTGCTCAGGCTTCATAATTTTCTTAGTTTCCTCAGCTTCCATGATCTTCTTTGACTCCTTGGCTACCTTGTGTTTCTTGGACTCTTTCAGCTTCTGGCTGACAGCCTTGGGCCTTTTTGGTGCTTTTTGCGGCGTTGTTATCTTTATAATAAAATCACCCTCGGCGCTGTTCATCTGCTGCTGCTTCAGCTTTTGTTTCTTCTTCTTCGTGCTGAGCGGCGGTGACTTCAGTTTCTTTTGTTTTGGCGCTAGGGGCGTCGCTGGCGCCAGTGTTTTCTTCTTTTTGGCCACGGGCCGATTGCGCCGCACTTTGTTCTGGAACACGTCCAGGCGCTTGGCATTGATTTCACGTAAACGTTGCTCCAAATCAGTGCTAGAGCTATTCATCTGGCGCTGCCAGGCGGCCAGCAAATCCTCTTTCTCGCTGCTCACCTTGGGCTTTTCTGCACCGGGAACAACTGCCTCCTCTGTTGGCGTCGTTTGATTCTCCTTGCTGTCATCCAATGAGACTGATGCACTCTTCTTCGCCTGCTGTTGCTTGTTGCCGCTTTCAGCGTTACCCTCGTCCTGTGACTGCGCCTCCGGAATGATGCGCTTACAGGCTGCTTTGGCCGCTGTTCGACGCTTTTGCTTGCGCTTGGGCGTCGCCACCGTAGACGGCGCCACGGCTGCCACTGGGGTAGCCGACTTGGCCGTCTGTTTTGGTTGCTTGGATGCAGTGACTGCCTTGATCACCGTCTGATTGCTGGTCTCCTCCATGGCAAAGAGTGGCGGCACGCAGCCGTTACTCTCATTGCCGCTGACATCGGCAGCTGTAGCTACTGCTGCCGCTGCTGCTGATGTTGTTACTGCAGCGGCAGCGGCTGCGGCTGCTGCTGCAGCTGAAGATGAAGAGGAAGCCGTGACTGCAGCTGCTGGGACGCAGGAACTGCTGCCGAAATTTGGCAGAATCTCGACATTCTTTATAATGACTGGCTTCTCCGGCTGTAAGTCTGTTTGTTTCTCTGGCTCTTTGGCCTGTTTTTCTTTGCGTGTCTTTAGCTCCGCCCGCCGCTGCGCCTGCTGTGACTGCGTCTGCTGCCTTTGTTGGAGACGGCGGGTGGATAGAGGCGTGCTCTGGCTATGTGTGACCCCCTTAGGCGAGAAATTGAGAGTGCGCACGTGTGAGGTGCGTTTGCGGGGCGTGGATAGACTACGAAAGGCCTTCACATTCACAATGCCCGACGTGGAAGGGGTAACGCGCTCCAGCACCAGACGCGATGAGTCCAGCGAAGCAGGCACAGCACTGGCGTTCAACACTTTGCTGGCAGAACGCTCGACCAGCACCGTACTCGCAGTCACTGGCTTTGGCTGCTCCGCAATAAGCTGA